ACATCCCGCGATTTACCTCCTTCACAAAGCTCCAGAGAAGAGACAGTAGGGGCCTTCAAGGTTGGGGTTCAACCTTTTTTTTTGGATAATTATGGTCAAAATGTTAGGGGTCAGCTAGCAATTTTCTCCTATAACTAGACCAAAAATAATAATAATAATAAAAATATAGCCTTTTTTTGTGGAAATTACATAAAACCATACTTTAACTATTCAACCTTCTAAAATTAGATTCAAGGTTTCATATTTCAATAATCAGAAATATTATTTTAATCAATATTTTATAAAATAAATATTTTACTAATATACTTAATTATATACACATTACAAACCCTAATCATCTTTATAAACACTTCACTCCCTCTCTACCCAAGAGTTGTTGTATGTGTGTGCCTCTCTCCCTCTCTCTCTACATCAACGGTTCTGCCGGTTACAAACTCCGGCGATGGACCAATCTAGCCTTGTCGCGATGTGAAGATGTGGTCGGTGTAGGTCCCTCGCCTAGCGGCTGAAGCGATCTGGCAGCGATGTGAAGAGGCAGCTCGATTCGTTGCGATGTGAAGTAGTGGAGGTGCTACGAGGTTGATTGCGCGACGGTGGTGAATTTGGAAGGGCAGCAATGTGAAGCACTGGTTTGTAACTGCTTTGATTCTGTGGAGTGGGATAATGCAATGGTTTCGTTGGGGTGGTGGCGGTATAGTGTGGATTGTGATGGTAATAGGGCACTGTCGTACTAGATTGTTATAGGTGCGACGGTGATGTGGTGGTTGGGTGAGTGGTGATTAGCGGTGGTGGTGGAGGCGTGTGGTTCTGTGGTAGGGACGGTGGTTGAGTGGATTGGGGGGAACGGTTCTGTGGGAACATTTTTGTGGTGGATTTGTGGTTGTGTGGTGGATTTGCCGTGATGGCGAGATGGTGGTGGTGATGGTTGTGGTGCTGCGACAGTGATAGCGGTGTTGGTGTGGTTGTGGTTGTGGCAGTTGTGATCACGATGGTGCTGTAGAGGTAGCGGAGGTTTGGTGGTGGTCACATATTATTTGATTGATTGTGACTATTAAACTGATTAATTCGTGACTAATAAACAATATGTGACCACCAAAAAGATAAGTTGTGACCAAGAATAGTGTGTGACCTAAAAAAATAATAATTCATGACCTATAATAGTTGTGATCTGTGACTTGTAAATAACTTGTAACGTATAAATTTTTTATCTGTGACAAACAAATCGTGACTTACAAAATTTTTGAATTATGACCATAAACAGATTTTGTGAACTTAAATTTTTTTGATTTGTGATCAAAAAGAAAGTTGTGACCAATAATTTGATAAGTTGTGACTAAAAATTAATTCGTGACTAATTAATTTTTTTTTATTTGTGACCGATGAACAAACTGTGACTTACAAATTTTTTGAATTGTGATCGTAAAATAATTTGTGACATAAATTTTTTTATATGTGACCAAAAAATAATAAATGATTAAATAAATTGTTAATTTGTGACCAAATTGTATAGATATGTGGCTTAAATATATTTAATTTATTGAGTTGTGACCGAAAAATTAATCTGTGACCTATAAAAATTTTGATTCATGATCGAAAAATAATATGTGACCTATAAAATTTTTAATTTGTGACCGAAAAATAAGTTGTGATCAATAATATGATAAGTCGTGACTAAAAATTAATTCGTGACTAATTATTTTTAGATTTGTGACCAATAAACAAACTGTAACTTACAAAATTTTTGAATTGTGATCATAAAAAAATTTGTGACATAAAATTTTTGATTTGTGACCAAAAAATAATAAGTAACTAATTATATTATTAATTTGTGACCAAACTGTATAGATCTGTGACCTAAATATATTTAATTAATAAAATAATTAAATTATAAATAAATTTTAATAAAAATCTGATTTTAGAAATTAGAAATTTATTTTCTTATTTTTGAAATGTGCCATAATTAACTGCTTAGTTACAAAATTTTCCCTTTTTTTCCCCCCTAATATTGTGTAAACTGAGGTTAGATGGGGGTAATTTTTAGTTTAGCTTAGTCAAAATAGCAATTTTTCACTTTAACCAAAAAATATTTGTCTATAACCAAAATGGCCTTTTCTTGAGTAAAAGACAAAAATGCCCTTAAGTAGTTTATACAATTACAAAAATAGAATTTTGTTTCAAAAGACAAAAATACCCTTAAGTTACAAATTAAAAAATCAAACACTTTTCACTTTATATTTAATTATTTATTTTAAACAATTACCCAAATTAAAAAAATTAATATTAAATTTACTTTCTTGTTTAAATATTTCATTAATTAATTATCTTAATCGGTTATATATATTATTTATTTAATATTTAATTTCTTTATTTAATTATTTATTTAATCACTTGCTTAAAAAAAATTAATATTTAATTTGATTTCTCATTTAGATATTTTATTAATTTATTATCTTAATTGATTATGTATATTTAATAAATTATTTAATTATTTATTTTAAACACTTATTCAAATAAAAAAATTAAAATTTAATTTTGATTTCTCTTTTAAATATTTCATTAATTAATTATCTTAATTGACCCTTACTTAATTATTTATTTTAAATACCTACTCAAATAAAAAAATTAATATTTAATTTGGTTTCTCGTTTAAATATTTCTCTATTAATTATCTTAATTGGTTATGTATATTATTTATTTAATATTTAATTACTTTATTCAAATGATCACTTATTTAAATAAAAAAATAATATTTATTTTAATGTCTTATTTAAATATTTCTTTAATTAATTGTCTTAATTAGTTATGTATGTTATTTATTTATTGTTTAATTACTTTGTTTAATTATTTATTTAATCACTTAATTAAATAAAAAATTAATATTTAATTTAATTTCTATTTAGATATTTCATTAATTAATTATCTTAATTGGTTTTATGTATTTAAAATTTAATTACTTTATTTAATTATTTATTTAATCACTTATTTAAAGAAAAGAATTAGTATTTATTTTAATTTCTTATTTAAATATTTCATTAATTAATT